TTTTTAAATGTAGGACGACTATCTTTTTTTTTTTTTTTTTGCAGCCAAACGCCGCACGCCGGAGATCCGGCACGGTGCCGGAGAACTTGCCCTGTTATTTGTGTGTGCATCTGCTGTTCAGTAACCTAAAATGATTGACCACTAAATAAACCCCAGTATTTCTCAAGGTTTCTCTCAGAGTCACTGACCTGCAGGCACCTCAGTGAGGTTATTACTGGCGGCAGTGGACGCACTCGGGGCAGCTGAGGTCACAGTAGCAGCAGCAGACGAAGGGGTGGGGGCTGCAGGAGGGGCATCTTTGGGAAACACACGGTCCTGCCGTTTAAACTTAAACTTCTTCAGGAATGGAATCTCACTGAACTCCTAAAGAGGAATAACATTTGCAGGACATGTTAGGTGTTGAAATTCACCTGCATGCAGATGTGAATATCCAACTACCACAGATCTACAGCACTTACCTTAGGAGTGACCCAGTCTTTGCGATCAGGTGTCTGAGTCTTGAATACACACTTGGTCCACGCAGAGATGTCTCCAGTACAGTAGTATGCATCACTCTTAAACACAAGCTGCCCTTTGCAAGTCTCACAAGGCTTCAAGGACCCAAAAGCCATGCAGTCTGAAAGCCGGTCTATGATCTGTCAATTAAACAGTCACATTTCATTAGAGAAATGATACCCAAAGTAATAGACCAATTAGGGATGTTCATTTTAACCGGTTAACCGACCGTAAGAATTTTTGACCGGTTAATACAATCAGTTAAACGGTTTAAAAAGTACAAATTTTTTTCAGTAATTTATCAAAATATTTAAAAAGGTTTGCTGCATGGTTAAAATACGCTACGTGTATAAAAAAAATAGTTTTTTAGGGGGAAAAAACATAAGTCGCATTTTATTATTTCATTCAGACATAGGCCTAATGCCGACGCGAAATGTTTACAAACATAATAAACACTGTAAACATAGCTAGGCTATTTTAGTTCCCCTCAGCAACAAATCCTTTCAATTAACAGTATTTAGAAAAGAACAAGAATTAAAAATATAAGAAGCTATAGCAATATAAACGACAAGCCAAAACGAATTCATTTAGGCTAAAACGAAACTGACAAGACCAATAGTGAAAATAGTCACAGATTCTCTTTGGTATCTGACGTTTGATGCTGCTATTGAAATTGACAGTCAGACAGTGGTCAAATCAGCACATCAGTACAGTTTTTCTGTTTTTCACACCTACATTTGACTCCCCAGATGGAACCTCCTGATTGTTGGCAATAAGCAGTTCCTTCATGTCATTGATGGAGCAGAATTTCTTCAGCTTGTCCTTAATTCCCCAGATCATCTGGCTTTGCTCCTAGAATACATCAAGAACCAGACAAAAGCATTTTCAGACTGATATACTTTCTAATTTACAGAAAAAAATTAGAGCAATCAGCTAAATGTTGGGAGAAAACACTATAGTCTCATTTCTACAGACAGCACAACTAATGTAATAAAATTCTTAGGTCTGTTCTGGTAATAGACAAAGAACTTATTAATGCAAATCATAAAATATATTTCAAAAATTCAATAATTCCATATAATCTTGTTAAGATAATAAATAGATAGTCTAATCAGCTAAAATGTAAAAGCGTGCATCAAAATCTCTACATTATATTGGAGCAAATTCATTTGTTACTAGGCAAAAGTTATCTATAATAATCCGAGCCATATGAAAGATATCAGAAACAACTCATACCTTCAGTTGTTTCAGCTCCAGTTTTTCATCTTCTTTCTTCTGTTTCTTGGAGACTCCTCCATCTACATCATCTATCTTTCTCTTCCTGAGAAAGAAAACGCATTAAAAAAAAAAACACTATGAATACACAATGTATTGCATTTATATCCTAAGGACATTACTTGAAAATTCAGTTCTTTGCAGCATATTGATTCTGAATGGTCAGCTGTAGTTTTCACTTGCTATTTCTTCTGTATAATTTGTATAACTCACCATTGACCCAGGCAACTAATAACCTACACAGCATTATGATTAACTAAAGCTACTACAAATCAATTTTGTTAACTGAAATAAAGATTGAATAAAATAAAATACAAGTATTAGACGAAAAACACCTAAAAAAAATCTATTAGAAATGCTGCCACTGCAACTAACTGACATAAAAAAGCTAAATATAAATATTAAAAATAACAACAACAAAAAAACAGCAAATATAAAAGTGAAAGCTAATTAATATTAAAAATATTAAATATCTTTAATATAATATAAACAATACTAAAATAACACTTGTTAGTTGTGTCTATATTTGCAAGTAGTCTTGTAATAAGCAAGTTAAATGTAGTCATCACCACAAACTCTTTCAGGGCGATCAGGTGCACATACGTGTACAACGTACAGTCAGACATAATGAACAGCTGACTCGATGCCTTTTACATCAATAAAAAGGAGCATTCTTATTATAAACCCTAGCTGATCCAAGATCTGATCACTTGATCTGAATGGTGAAAATCTTTCCACCTTGTGGATCTGAGTTCATCCTACAGAGAGAATTTGGTCTCCTCCGAGTGTGTGTTAGAACCCAGAGGCTCTTCTATCAGTGGACCTCATTAGAAGATTATCAGTCCACTGAGTCACAGTCATGTCTGGACAGGATCCTCTATCCGGTGGCCATCATAATGCAGATCATTAATTAATCACCTCATGACAGACATCAAAGCTGATCTCAACAGCACCACTGTGCCTACTTCCCCTCCAGAATGTAATTAACGCACATTTGGGTGGCAATAATGGGCACCAGAGGTCAAAGCAAACACAAACAAGACCATTCTTCCCATTAGAATAAAAGGCTTATAAAAGCCCATATCACAGCTACGGGTGAAAAGCGACACGGGGAGAGAGAAAATAAATGAATATAGATGTGGTTGTTTTGTTACCATTTAATATGTTTCATGTCTTGTTTTAGTTTTTGAAGCTAATATCTATGCTTTTCTTTATTTGGTTGTGGTCCCTTTAAGAATCTTAAGTTTCAGCAAGAGTCCTGCCATGTGACCAGTAATAAGGAAGTGAGCAAGCATGACACAGAGAGTAGCATGTTTAGTGGATCTGAAGCTATACTGTGATATTTGCATACATCTTGCGTCTGTTGTAGCATCGTGGGTATATATTGACTGTTTTTAACAATATATATGATTGCAGATTATTATTTGGGGATAGTGTTACATTTTATGGAGCTGATTGTTAGAAGCCTATTATTCTCTATCTACCTCACTATAGTTAATGACATTTCGTTGTGGTAATGTTTATACTGTTCCTAGACCATTAAAAGTTCATATAAATGCAGTACAGATAGAACAGTGATTAGAAAATTAAATACATGTTAAATATACATACATTACATTTAAAGATATTTGTTAAATACATAAACTTGTGACAGTAAAAGGAAAAAAAGGAGATTTAATTCATTTCATTTGATTATATCTGTTGATTATGCGTTTTGTATGTTTCAGTTTCACTTTTCCTCACAACGTCAATAAACCTGTGGACAAGGAGCCTATGTCTTCAGAGTCTTGATGTTAGGGAAGAGTTTATCTGGCTGTCAAGTTATATACAGCACATATACCGAGGGCAGTACAGTGGCATCTTTTGCTAATGGATGCAAGAACTTTTCCAAGCAGATCCAAAGAAGTCAAATGCATTGGCAGAACATAGGCAAACAACATCAAGCGACGAGTGGCATCTCAAAGCAATAACATACGAAGCATACATGACAGAGACTTGGTAGGTACATTAATATTTACTTTTTAAATAGATATTTATTATTTTAAAAAATTTACTATATTAATTATTGATGATAGATTAATCATTTTTTTTAAATAATACTTTTATTCAGCAAGGATGCATTAAATTGATCAAAAGTGACTGTAAAGTATGTGTGTATA